AGTATAATTATTTAATGATTTAATAAGAATAATTTTGAACTTTTACTGTATCTAAAGCTTTTTTGTTAGTTTTAATATTTAAGTATGAAATAATAATGCTTGCTAACTGATGATGTGCGAGTATGTTATAACTTTTAGAGTTATCTATACATATAATAAAATTGTAACTAAGCCGAATCTGTACATTAAATATTTTTTGGAAAATCCTATTGAAATAGACATTTTTATCGATACAGAGGCCGAATGTATAGTTTTTAGAATTTTTGTCTGTTTGTCTATCTGTCTGTCCGTCCGTCCGTCCGTCTATCTGTTACCGCATCACGGAAAAACCACTGGAGAGATTTTGATTAAATTTGGTATGGTGATAGCTGGTTATCCGAGTCAACATATAGGATACTTATATAACATACATATAGGATACATTTCTGAGAAAAAATACAAAACCTGCAATGTAAGAGTATACATACTAATATGTTAAACCTAAGAATTTGGTTTCTGGTCATCTGAACGCGGGCGGAGCCCGCGGGCAATGCTATTTTTCAATATATTGTGGCAGACTTTAGAAGAGGAAAATCTCAATTCGTCTGTATTTTTTTCGTAGGTATTTTATGTTACACGATATTTTCTCCAATTAAGGATCGTCTTCCATAATTATTTTTTGGATAAATATAATTTTCAAATAATCAATTTTATTTTTAAAGTAAGCTTAACTAGGTATTTGTGTATATACTACGGTTACAATTACAACAGTTTAATTTTAAATTTTTATCTTCAATATATTTAGATGATGGATAAAGCTAGGTAAGTGCTACGAATAAATATACTTATTATTTATTCGTGGGGTAAGTATAAGTTTTCCTTGACCAAAATGATATATGTATACATAACGTATTAGTTACGTTAGTAAATAAATCTGAAGGTAAACAAGGTAGCACAGTGTGATGGTGCTATTGATATTTTTTATATTCTGAAAGTTCTACAACTGTATCTACTACGATCTTTTTGAACGGTTTTATTTAGCTTGCCCTGTTTGTTTGGGTCTAGTAATTGACATTTTACCTCTTTCGAGTTCACAGATTTATCCAATATTTAGCACACCAAGATATTGTATTGATTGTAAATCCAAGATGGCCGCCGACACAAAATGGCTGATTACATATTTTTTCACAACCCCTTCAATATGGGTATCAAATAAAAGGGCTTACTAGTACAACACAGTGCATGTCGGATCATAGAAATTAGACAATTTAAAATAACAAAATAAAAACATGAAAATAAAATATGTTAATTTTTTTTAAGTTGTCGGTTTTATTGAAAAGAAAGATAATAATGATCTAGATAATGTAATAAAAGCTAAAAAATAATGAGATAGGTTCTAGGTACCAGTCACCGCACTACTCTCCTTATCAATGTAGAGCATGGATCAGACTCAAAAATAAACATGGGTCGTTACATATTTAAGTATCTTTGTTTTAATAAAACCGTTTAACATAAATAAAAATGTTCGCCTATATTATTAGTATTACATTTAATTCATATCCTATGAGTGATTAAACTATTCATTTGATTAACTATGGAACTTTGTTGCAGTAGATGGAAAAACCAAAAAAAGTATATAGTATATCTTTAATTTAAAACTCAAAATGTCATTGTCTTTTTCCATTTATTATGTGCTTGATTGGTCTGTTTTGTATAGGTTTAGATTATATTTTTCTTTAATTCGTTCGTATCGTGGCATGTTTTCATTTAAACGTGTTATTATTATTACAACGATTAACATATTTGTCATAATTTTGATAGGAAATTCCATTAATATAATGCTTATTTGTTTTGCATATATGATTTTTTAATCTATTCGAACATCTAATAGAAACTATACCTACGTAAGATTAGAAATTTCCATTTATTTTACATAGACAAAAATATTATGTTGATAACTATTTTGTTTTTTTCTTTGCGTTGCCGTGACTCAACCTTGTTAAATCTAGTGGGGAATTCCAGCAAAATGGATAACATAAAAATATTCTCCGTACTCAAATAACTAAGTGCACGACGATCAGTTGAGTCAAACTGTGTAGAATTTGATGCAATGCAGCCTCATCAAATGGCGAATTTTACCAAATTGTAAAGAATAAAAGCCTTGTATGTACATATAATGAAAGATTTATACATAAATAAAGAAAGAAGTAAAGAAAAAGCTTTCTAATATGTGAGCTTTTGCACAAACTAACATATATATTTTTATTTATATACTGTCCTAACTTCAGTTACTACCATAAGATATTGGCCCCTGCCAATATTCAAATATCGCACAGCATCCTCTTAGTGGATAAAAAGTCCAATATGACCCTTACCTGCAAACATACGAAATCCATATAAAAAATCACATCAATCATGAAATCTTGTTTTTTCGTGAAAAAACAACATTCTTTTTTTTATATATCTACTATTAGTATGGAAGGAAAAATACTTTTAAAGCAAAAGAGGAATTAAAAGTCTAATGCCCGATTTCACTAACAACCCATAAGCTACCACCTACGTATGGGATCCCTAGCTTAAATTCCCCTAAACTAGCCCCTAAATTAAATTTCGTTTTACCATTGTCTTTAAGCCCATATTTCGAGTACCTAAATTTAGGGGGTCTTTTAACATTTAGGTGACCCCAAACTGTCGGTGAAACAGAAACTATCCCCTAACAGCCCCCTAACCACGCTTAGGGGATCCCTTAAACTTAGGTAACGTTGGTGAAAACGGTTATTGGGCATTAGATACACGCAACTCTTTTCTATGTAATATTGAAAATCTCTACAATCTTTATGCTTTTATAAGTCAGTTGAGCTCTAAAATCTATTCATATTACATGTTACAAAGCCGTGTTAAGCCTACGAAGTAATATCAGAGTAGGATATACCGGGTGAAATGACTTTCCTTTGCTCACACACTTGGTGTAAACACCACAGGCATAGTTCGTAAAATACAAGGTTTTTGCTAAGTTTTACAACCATAAGGTACTTGAAGCTTCCACAAGTGCGAATGGTATTTTTACGTGTCTGATAAAACCTTTGAAATTTTTATAACATTTTCCTCTATACTTCTTTAGCACAACACTTTTATTGTCTAGATTTTATTATATTTAAGTAAATTGATGTGGTTTGTTTGGGTTTATTGTTACAAATTCTTTGATATAATACTTTCAGGAGGGATAATATAACAATTTTTCGCCTTTTACATATGTACATATTTCAAAGCAATGCAAATATTTCAATAACTTTTTAAAGTAAGAAGGAAAAAATAATAATAAAATGAATTATAAGTAAATTCTTGCACCAAACTAATTTAAACAATATGTTGTTGTAAAGTACGAGTATTATTACGTCTATAAAATAATATTATGTCAGAAATATTATGCCAGAAGTCGCAAGTTCGGGATTGAAAAAAAAAATATTGCTTCGTTCCTAGACAAAAAATGGTGTTAAATAGATTAAAGTACATAATATGTATGAGTATATAGAGCTCAACTTATGAGTATACTATAAGAAATGTGTTATGCATAATATTTTAGTTATTATTTACTAACGACTCACTCTCGCTTCGCTTCGGGTTCGACTCTAGACAAAAATAAATCAATCCCACAGCAACCGCACCGTTTTCCGGGATAAAAGAGACCAATGTTTTACCTCTGTGCCAAATTTCATCTAGATCCATTCCCTCTTTCTGGCGTGATTGAGTAACAAACGTCCAAACTTTCACATTTATAATAATAGTAAGATTATAAGCATTATAATGCTTAATAGATTAGTATTATAACGTAAACTGCGTTGGTAATTTTTAATAATTGAGCACATGCCTAGAAATGTGACGTTAAAAGGACTGTTTTTATTATATTAATTATATATAAAGCAAATTGTTTAGTTTAATAGCTGTTGTTACTAATTCATATTTTTTTAAAGATTTTTAGTTATTGTTAGTAGATAAAAGCCGTTTCTCATTGTTACCGTAGGTTAAATCTCGTTTTTTGTAATATTAAGTTTTGTTGTATATGCATACTCTGTCTGCATCTATGTGTTTGATTGTCATTTGTTTTGTGGACCAATAAACATAAATAAATAAATATATTATACGGAATCCTGTTATTGTACATCGGCTGACGGCCCTTCTATTTTTTTATATACTGTCCGAATCTCAGAGGAACTAAACTTTTCTCCTACTCCCACTGGACCCATTTTATTTTAAATCTTCACAAACAAAAACAGTAAAAGGTGAAATTAAAAAATGTTAAGTTTTATGAAAATCATTTATTAAAATATAACAATAAACGTACTAGCCTATATTATTCACATTTGTTATAAATATTATAACAAAAGCAAACACGGTAACGTAGGCATTACGCTGATGCGGACCTTCGGTTTTTACAGAACATTATTGAATTAGCAAACAAAGGCGGCCGATAAGTTCTGTCCATTATGACCTTTCAATGCCATTGGCATAGTTTGTAACTAGGTTCTTAATTCACATATGAAGTGAAATTGATTTATACTGTCAGAATAACAATCAATAAACAAAATACACAAACATTTTTTTTAATTGATGGAATACAATATGTAAATATGTAGCTTTTTACTGTACTGTACTGCCTTTGTTCGTACTCAAGGATTTTGTTTCTATTTATGGCAATCGAGTGAATATTAATAACAATATTTTATTTATTTAAAGCTGTTGCACTGCCGGCTTCAGTACTTAATTCAAGTTAGTAAAAATGTCTTGAATGACTGTTACTGTAACACTTTCCTCTACTCATTTTGTAGATCTTGTAATACTCCCTTTATTTAAGATCGACGTTTATCTGCAATATAGCCTGTATTGATCCCTAACTATCTAGTTCTCATTATAAAATACACATTGGCTTCAGCTTTATAATAACTCCTAGAAATACTTAAAATTACGGTGCTTTCTTGATTTCATGACGCAGACGATGCTTTAACAGAAATCTTTAGCACCTAACCGGACCAGCTGTAATAAAAATATATATCCATTAAAATTTCCATAAGACTTAAGTGAATAATTTACTTACAAAATAAAGTAACCCGTTAATATTATATGTATTATAGAACATCAGCAAGGGATCCGCATTCCTCCAAACCCATAAAAATCGGGTTTTACCGAAATCTCGAGACAAAATTATGATTTCAAATTATTTATATTCCACCCAAAGGCAGATTACATAATATAAGTCTAAAACCAGCTTGCGTTATTGTCAAACAAGTATAAAATTAGCAAACTACTCGTACATCATTTATTTGACAACGTGAGCAAATGTGTAAGCATTTTATGCGTAATGTACTTATAGGTCTCAGATTTGTGCAAGATGTATCTACGTATTTACTCATTAACAATCTCTGCAATAACGTTAAATAACATTAAAAAAAACTAGTTATAATAAGATATTCGGATTTTTACGATTCATTTCAATAAATTCCTCCAACATAAAAATTCAAATAGATAATAAAATAATTAATTAAATAACCCATAAATTATATTTGAAAATAACAGCTGTGTAATTATTGAATTATTTATTTCCAATGTTATTAGATGCGACTCACCCTCGCTTCGCTCGGGTTTGTCCCTGGGTAGGTACGTTTTAACAGTTAGTATGGAATAACTAGAGTATAATATATTAGTATACCTATATCTATACATATAATAAAATTGTAACTAAGCCGTAATCTGAACATTAGATATTTTTTGGAAAATCTTATTGAAATAGACATTATTATCGATACAGCGGCCGAATCTATAGTTTTTAGAATTTTTGTCTGTCTGTCTGTTACCGCATCACATAAAAACCACTGGAGGGATTTTGATGAAATTTGGTATGATGATAACTGGTTATCCGGGCCAACATACAGGATACTTTTTACCGCGGGAAAAGTCTCATTTCAGAGAAAAAATACAAAAACTACACTGTAAGAGTAAACTAATATGTAAAACCTAAGTATTTGGTTTTTGGTCATCTGAACGCGGGCGGAGCCGCGGGTAATGCTAGTATACTTATATATACATAGATATTATTAATTTTATATCCCTTACTTGAGTAATGATTGATTCCCCATACAAACATTGATCCCACTTTTAAGTAATGAAACATCTAAATCAAAACATCTAAGTCGGTTCAGATTTTTAGTTTACCCATTACATACAAAAATACATTTTTTTCTCTTTATAATATTAGTAATCGATTATTTTCCATTGTGACAGATGTTTTAAGATTAGCTGCTTATGTTGTATTGTTAGTAAAGTTATACTCGGCTAAAAGAATCATTCATTTACATGGTGTCATGGTCTTTATTAATTAAGATAGTCATCGGATAGGTCTCTTAAATTTCATTACGTTCCTATACAATGGAGTTTTTTTTTCTTTTTAAGGTTGTAACCTTACAAACTCGACTTGACCTCTAGTCTGCTTTAAAATTTATTAACAAAATATAATGCCCGGCATGACCATGATACACTTTTGAAGTTAAACTTGTTTAGAATCGTTGTGATTTGAAACTCGATGAAACGAAAATTGATCTCGACAAAGAGACAAACACATAAATAAATAGGTATAAGCCAGCGAGAGAATGAGATAGAATACATTACACAAGAAGTGAAAAATAATAAAAATAATACTGAATAATATGTAATGTACTTTTAAACTTGGTAAAAATACATACAATTATCCTGCTCCTGATACTCTATATTCATTTCACTCTCCCGTAGGTTACTTTTCTGAAGATTATATATATATATATATATATATATATATATATATATATATATATATATTTAGAAAATAAATATTCTGAGATAATTCCGTTTTATTCTAAAATATCTAAAATTATTTTTATAAAGGCAAATAATATTGTGAAAACCCACTTGGCACTTACCTCTCAATTTCGACGTATTTAGGCGCATGACTGTAATATGAATAAAGCCATAAAATTAATATAATGCATAGTATAATAAATATATAAATGCTATAAAATAAAAGCTGTCGTAAATTAATATTTATAATCAAAAGTAAAAAATATTATTTAAATTGAACATAATAAATAGAACAAGATAGAGAAAAAGCTGTATTTAAAATTATTTTGTTAAAATATAATTGAGCTATTCTGTTAATTTCTTGTTATTTAATGGAATGGTTTATATATAAGTTAGTATGTTAGTGAAACCTGTACCGTGGGTCAGTTTGAATTACAACTCTTCGGGGTACTGACTGTTTCTTAAGTGCGAGCGCTCCGACTACTCCTGCGCCCACTGCGCCCACCTTCGCTGCTTTCAAACCTAAAGCCCCTATAAAAACATATAATTCGCATTAAGCACATGTAAATTATCTTACCGGATGTATAAATGTTTGTTAGTCACGCAAAAACTACTAAACGGATTTAGATGAAACTTTGCAGTAGTAATTATAGCTTATACATCAGAGTAACAGATAGGCTATAATTTATATAGATATTATGCATCATTTAAAGACGCGGGCGAAGTCGCGAGAAAAGGTAGTTTTTGTTCATATATACAAGACGTTATTAGCCCTCATTAGTAATACATGTACGAGTATAATTTTACTTTGTTGTGGTAGGTATTGTGTTAAAGATTTATGGCGCTTGTGACCTATAATTTTAAAATAATAATAATAATTTTTACATCATAATCTTTCATTTTATAACCTACAATGCCTTAAATTCTGGTAATATTAAGAAATATTAGTTGTAAAATGAAAACATAGACCCATTTTTAAATTAAATTCTTAAATTAATGAATAAAAATCGAGGTAACAGTTCATTCGAGAGTAGACGGATTCATAAAATAGCTTAAATTTATAATATAACGTAAATTGTCTACATCTAAAATATAAAGTTAGTACGAAAATACATTCTAAAATGGTTTTAAATATTAGAAGAATAAATCTAATTTCAAATTCAACAGAACTATACTGCAATTTTAATATTTAATTTTTAATTTTTCTCTAGAAAATTAGTTTCTTTATCGTACTATGCAAAAGCCAGGGGTTGATTTTATTAAAAGACTTAAAAGCCACCTTTGTCTATTATTTTCTAGCACAAGCTGCACAATGACATCAATTGAGCTCAAGGTTTTCATATTTAAATTAAACTTCTTATGGTTTCACTTAAATCTCATTCTACACATAATTTATGTAACCTAATAGAAAAAAATACGTAAAGCGGTACTAGGTAAAGTCTTTGAATAAATATTATTGTTAGTAGGTGGGTATTTTCTTTATTATAAAATCTATACATATAATAAAATTGTAACGAAGCCGAATCTGTAGATTAAATATTTTTTGGAAAATCTTATTGAAATAGGTATTATTATTAATACAGATGCCGAATCTATAGTTTTTAGAATTTTTGTCTGTCTGTCTGTCTGTTACCGCATCACGGAAAAACCACTGGAGGGATTTTGATAAAATTTGGTATAGTGATAGCTGGTTATCTGGATCAACATATAGGATACTTTTTACCGCGGGAAAATATTTCATTTTTGAGAAAAAATAGAAAAGCTGCAATGTAAGAGTATACTAATATGTAAAACCTAAGAAATTGGTTTTCGGTCATCTGAACGCGGGCGGAGCCGCGGGCAATGCTAGTTTTACAATAAAGCTTTTTAAATTGATTCGTCAAACAACTTACCAAGGATGAGTTTCTTTTTAAGCAACAGCAGACCTCTCTTCGTTCTAGCGCTTCTCTCGTGCACTGGTGTCTCTAACAGTGACTCGTGGATGTCTTGTACTTGTTGTGCATTTTGTTCTGGATATTCATAGTGCACGCTCGCTGCAACGACTGCTACGAGACAAGCCAGAACGATGACAGTTGAGGAATGCATATTTGGTTATCCTAAAACGAAACTTTTTATTAATTCTTTTCAACTCCAAGTAGGTACATTACCCATTAATAATTATATTTTAGTGATATCTGATGACTTCTTGCAATATCTTAATAATTAATATCCTACGAAAACTTTTTTTTTATTCCAATCTGAATTAGTGCTTGACTACGTTCCACCTGATGGTAAGTGGTAACGCAGTCGTTGATGGTAAGTCGCACTAATTCAGTAGTAACCTATTCACTCTTGCCTTGAAGACACCCATACTTAATTACAACTAACTACTTCTTATACTGCGATAAAAAGTAGACATTCCCAGACCAATAAACTATTTATAGAAAAAAATGCTTCATATATTGCTACGACATACATAAAAGAAGGACATATAAACAAACATCCTTTCGCATTTATAACATTAGTGAGGAAATAAGGACGTCTATGCTACAAACATTTTTCAAATTCCACATTCGTGTCAAAAATCAGTACTAATGTAGAAAAATTTCAAATATAAAATATGTACTGAATACGAAATATTCATACGTAACGGCAAGGCACCAGGGATGATTTAATATGGACCAGACTGGCTTACAAATGGTATACATGTGTGTACATATGCACGTTTCACACGACTGCACCAGCAGATTTATTTACCGTAAAATGCAATAAATCGTTAAATGTACGCGGCGTAGTTCGAAACTACTGTTAAAATACTAAATTGGGAAATATAAATATGTATAATTTATAGGTATCTATATTCTGTTATGAGAATTGTATAATCACTTTAAACGTAAACATTATAAAGTCTGTCTTATCAATGTAGAAAGCCAATGACTCCATTTCCTGCTTTCCATCGATATCGAGACAATGTGTGCTTAGCGACGGTTCTAAACACCATGCTTTATATTCATCAGATTCCCTATAGTCAACATAAACAAGGCCTATTTATACTGTGCCTTGACGATCTGTGTTTGTTTAGCAATGTCTAAACATATATGTTTGTACATTGTCAATATACCTATATGAAATCTGAAGCTTTTGGGGTGTCTGGTTCAAAAATGTTTTTCGAAGAATAAAATTTATTACTTTTATTTTTAATTTAACCAAATCAAGTATCATAGGTTACATAATGGAATAACCAGGGTATATTGAAGGCTACTAGGCTTATACGTGTGTATCCAATATCTATCCTCCACACTGTAGAGTAACAAATATTTTACGAATATTAGTGCCTATTTTTATTTTTATTTATTTATTTAATCATTTATTTCAGGCAATATTTACAAAAAGATCTTAAATATGTAAACAGAGGCCCATAGCATAATATGTATATACCATATATATACCTATGTATGTATACGTACATTTATGTGCTAATCAGTACTTAAAATAGACAGCTGACCTTACCACTGTTCTCTTGTCAATGTTTCATCAAAATGACAAGTGTTTTTTTTACCTACATACATTACATAGAAGCAAAATTTATTTACTTCAGCCAGTTTACAATATATCTAACATATACTTGATTGATTGTTCATAGTATGCAATATTCAATTAATTCAAAATAAATAGTCTCGTTGAATATGTATAAATATTATAAACGTGAAAGATTGTGAGCATGTACTATGTATGGATATTTGTTACTCTTTTACACCAAAACGGCTGAATGGATCTGGATGAAATTTGGCACAGAGATAGAGTATAGTCTGGAATAATATATAGGCTTCTCTTTATACTGAAAAATATACGGTTCTCAAGGGATAGTTTTGTTTTTGTCTTTAGTAAAAAAATATGTTTTACGAATATGCTTTATTTGTTACGTCACCACATATTGCATTTTCTATTTAAAGTCGTGATTAATGTTATTTCAATTTGGAGAAGGAAAACGAACATATTTCGATACGACATTTCAAAAGGGTGAAGCGACCGTTGCGAGGAAGCTTTTCCGTGAAAATTGAAAATTTCTATTTGGTTTTCCGTTAAACATCTCTTTGACGAACGAGCTAGTATGTATAAAGAAAACTCGTACTTTGGTATCTATTGAAGTATACTTAAAACATACATTAAATGTATGTATTTCTAGAACTTACACGAAATTTTAATTTAAAATAAATATAGAATGAAAAATGAAAATAAAGTTAATAGATACGTAAAAATAACAATGGAAACAACTTATAACAATAATATAAATATCCACTTTGTTAACTTCATTACAATAAGCTACTCAGCTATTTATATGAAAACAACTTGGATACAACATCAACAGCGTACGCAATATCACTGTTACAAATCTTAAAGTGTTTTGTGTTTGGAATACTAAGTACATTAAAGGATGCGGTACCTTGGTGGCTTTGTTTGAACACAACACAACACTGCAGCGATCACTAACTCACAGATGACAATGAGGAGCTATCGAATTCTTTTATAGATTGCAAATGTGATGCCTCGTGGTAGGGCAGATGGTCGATGCACGCTAGACGATGCATGGACGCAACGCGTAGTTTATAGTAATATGAACTCGAAAAAAATTAATTTCTATAATAATATGTACGCGACAAAATATTTTATCAGATATTGCGAATATAAATAGCCCACAGTTCGTTTTTTTCAAGTCTTGACTGCAATTATCGCATTTAACCAGACGTCCTTAATTCAGCCAGCCGGAAACGGTTAAAAATAATTTCATAATTATAGGGATGGTCTAAAGTTTGACCTCGTAGTTTGATATCATATCTCAATATAAGGAATCGATGATTGGTTGAAAAAAGGTGTATAAATAATAATGTAATATTGCGGATAAAGATATAAACATTCCATGCCGCATACCGCAATGGCAGAACTTTCATTTAGTCATTTATTTAATTATTTATTATTTACATTCATATAAGTCAATATAAGAATTTGTAAAATAAAAAATGATAAAATTTATTATTTATTTCTTTAACTGTGTTTACTTTTCATCTGAACTAGTAAGATTAGTACTCATATAAAATAAACAGTTGCAAAACACTTTCTTTGTTTGGCTTAGAAATTTATTGGTATTTCATTTAGGCCGTTGATATTCAATATTTTTTTACAGAAAAAACTTATTTTACTTTATGATACCAAAGTCTAAGTTGACTTTTATATTAGATATTCATTAGCGAATGATTTATTGTTTGTTATTATCAATTTGCAATAGGTATTCCAAGACATACAATAATGGGCTTAAACAAAACATACTTATTGTGTTGCTTTGGTAATAAGTATAAAGGCATACCTACATATATTATATGTATGTCATGTCATGTCATAAATTGTAAGATAACTAATAAATTAAATTAAAAATTTAAAAATCCCCTGACCATCTTGGACCGATTTTCATCAAACATAGCTAAGAACACTCCCGACTAATTCACCTTTCAAACAAACAAAAAAAACAAAATCAAAATCGGTTCATCCGTTCGGGAGCTACGATGCCACAGACAGACACACACAGACACAAAGTTAATCATCAAAGTTATAACACCCCGTCGTTTTTGCGTCGGGGGTTAAAAACATATTTTAGTCATTGACAACGCAAATTATGAATTATTATCTTCATATAATAATCTAATATAATAATCTTTTTATTATTATACCTATAATAGAATAATCTTAATATAATATAATCATCTTTTCATAGAAAATTATTACGCATCGAACTTGAATAAACGAAAGGCTCGCTTTGATATAACTCTCAGCACATATTAGTCAGTATTTGACGACCTCCTAGACTATTTGCATAATGTTTAAACACGGGGACCCTCAAGCTAGTTGTGTTACGAAATGGCAAGCAATCAGCCTTAAAAATATGATAAATATTCCGCAGATTCTAGAAATATCTAGTAGGTAAACTAAATGGATAAAATAAATTATAAGTTTTATGGTTTCAATTATTAAAATTTGTATTGTGCATAACTATTGTGCTGAACTCTTATAATTCGATTTTGACCTACTTCTAACTGATCTGATTATTTGAAATTATTTAAGTACTTATTTGAAATCCGAATAATGATAATACAAAAATTTGTTACATTCTACCTGATCCGTTAATAAAACCACGAAGTAGATAGTAGAACAATGGCAACTAATAAAGTCTTCGAGTTTTAGTTCTCACTTTTAGCAACTGGTCAAAAGAAATAAAGCCGAATCAGAAATGATTAAAGTACATACAATGAAAATACACATGAGTATAATAAAAGCACAAATCTAAGAGTATTTTAAGTAGATACTATTTTCTAATCAAAAAACCAAAATGGTCGATCAACCAAAATATTCTTAGAAACGTCTAAATCTATTATATTTACTGACTAGCGACTTACCCTTGCTTCGCTTGGGTGCATGGTTTTAACATTTTAGGTAGGTGGTTTTAATTTTTTACTTCTTATAACATTAGCTTTCAGCCAGCAAAAATCCCTATAAAATCGGTTCAGCCGTTTTGGAGACAGCCAGAAGAAACAAACAGACAAAAAATTGAAAAACAGTTTTTTTTCTTATAAGTACCGTTTTTATACCGTAAATAATTTCGAATGCATTTAGTAAAAAATTGTTATTTTGACATTACATATAGTTAACCAAAGTTTCAGCCAAATAAACAGAACAGTAATTTAATAGCATTTTTTTTTCAAAAAGTGTTGGACATGATTCTTTAAATTAACATAACTTTATTATATATGGACCGATTGAACTTAAACAAACACTAAATGTTAAGTGAAGCTTAATACTCCATTAGTGAAAACCGCACCCAAATCAGTGAAACCGTTTCTGAGATTGGTGCGCACAAACACACAGACAAACAGACAAAAATTCTAAAAATCATTGTTTTGGGCTCTACATTATTAGTTTTTAGTTTTTCTCATATATCTTCCATGTACAGACAGCGATCAGTTACACTTTTATTATATGTATATAGATATATAGATTTACAGTTAGTAGTTAGTGGTATTAAAAATTTCTTCATAGTCTCACATGCGTCATTATACAAACGTCGCTAAATTTATTTAAGAGGTTTCGTGATATTTACGTCAAATCGCTCTACGCAATAGGCTTAAAATTATTTTTATAATTATTTTGATTTCTGTTTCGATAATTGGATATAGAATAAATATTTTTGAAGTGAAACTTCTTTAGAATCGTTGTGATTTGAAACTCGATGAATAGAAAATGCGACACTAAAAAGAGACAAACACATAAATATATAGGATTAAGCCGGCGAGAGAATGAGATAGAATACATTGCTATGTTGCCATGGTAACCGTTGTTATTGTCTGAGAAATATATATAATAATATTATAACATTCTTTCCGTATATGATATTCTATGAATATATGATTGTAATATGCCTTATATGCCTTATTTAATTATTTGAGATAGAATAAATTACACAGGTAGTAAAAAATAATAAACTTAACTACTGAATAATGAATGTAAAGTATATTTATGCCAAATAAATAACTTTTAAGCTTGGTAAAAATATTATTAAAAAAATAAACCTCATAATTATCCTACTCCTCATACTCTATATTTATGTCTTTCTCTCGTAGATTACTTTTCTGAAGTTTCACTTCTACCATCTGTGAATTGCACACACACTCACTTTTTATCATCATTTCTTGATTGTATAAGTACACACTATAAATTTTAAATCCAACAGTGATTAAAATAATCATAATATATTTTTCATAACAATATATGCGTAAAATGTAAATAATCAGGAAAACCCTAACTTACACAACAATCGCTTATAGTTTTTCAATCAGCCAGTTTAAGTTACGGTCAGACGGGCTCATCGCGATTTCGTGTAGAATGCTCATGTAATGTCTAATTACGTCCACTTGCGTGGCCAAAGTGACATAAGGCTGTTACATTTTGCGCCTAACAAATGCCGCACGCACCGTTAAGACTACAAATAAGACAACACCCACGCTTTAGTATTACAAATTAAGTCGAATTCACACACAAAATGAAATAAAGATCTAACTCCCACTGTGTACTCGGTACTATTTCATTATTTCGCTAGAACGTGGGTAAAATTAATAAATACCTATAACCTAATTAAGAAGTGAAAGTACCGTTTTTATGTAAAGTAAATGAAGCAATGAAGAATTAAAATATAATAATTTAAATTAAATAAGCACCGATATTAATTCCCATGTCATAGAATAATTAATAAATAAAAATACAAATATCTATAAAAAAATTAATACTTCAAAAAATCAACATGCTACTAAATAACATTATTACTTAATAAAAAAATCATTAACGTAAATATATCAGACAAGTGTGAGATGAACCCACGCACTAAGGATTCCGTGGAATATACTTAATATATTGTAATTTTTATACAGTGCCAAATTAAGAGTTAGTTTTTTTTCATTTACAGATTTTTAGCTTTGGCCAGTTAAACATTTGGAGTTTTATTTAGACATTCTTGTGATCTTTCCTAAAAACCTTTATCTTGATACCCCATTTGATAGTTTCAAAAGATATTTTTTTTTTGAAAGATACACAAAGTGGCGCTTCAGACACTTTAATTTTTAATTATTTCTGTATAGCATATGAAACTCGTGTGATCAACACGAATCCAAAGAAAATCATCATCATTAAAATCGGTTAAGCCGTTTAGTAATTACGAGGGAACATAGGATCGAACATAAATATATACATACATACAAATTACAAACAACAGATCAAACGCCTCCTTTGGCCTACGCCGCAGTCTAGTCGGGTAGAGTTAAAACAACTAGTGAGACTCTTTCTTTAATTCTAATTCTCTTTTTATAAAAAAACGCCTTCCCTGGGGGAAACCTCTCCCGTTCGTATAGAAACCCAAAAAGAATATTCTGCATTTCTACCCAGTACGCATGTCTCTTTAATAAAATGTTACCTAAAATTCTATCTACATTTTAGAACTTGCTGATTAGCGGCCTCTTGGTCTAGGGGTATGATTCCTGCTTTGGGTGCAGGAGGTCCCGGGTTCAAATCCCGGAGGGGCCCTGTTTTTGCATCCTTATTTTTTTATTTTATATAGGAATATAATATTCCTATATAATAATGTTGTTTATATATTTTTTGATACCTTTATTTTAGAATATTTTAATAATAGAAAAAAAAATAACTCTAGCTATATTTCAATATGTACCTGAATTTATTTGTAATGTACTTTTTTTTAATTAGTTCATTGACTTTGTGTCTTTAAGTCAATTAGTCTTATCAAAGCTTCTATCTAACTTATCATCCCAATTTTATTAATTAATCAATTAATGTAAGTTTTTACAGTTTTAGTTTCATTATATTTTTTCTTGTAAAGGAAGAATAAAATATATGAGTGCCATCTATAGTGTAATATATGAATAAATACATGAACAAATGAGTTACAAGTTATTCTATTTTATAATTATTTACAACTTTTATCGCTAGGTGGATCTTCCTAAAAGCCGAACGACATCTAGACGTGATATTTTAAACTTTTTAGTTAAAATTTTTCATAATAGAGGTCGCCTATAGTAAAACAGCTGTTAAACAATTGTTTTGCTTTTGATTCGCAGTTCGCTATTAACTTCACACTTGGTCTTTACCAGAGACTATAGAAAAGTCTACCTGCTACCAGTCAGTGAGATTTTGCAGTGTGTTGTGCAGTGTTGATTCTTTGAAAATTTTAATCTTTGTTGACAAATTTTATATAAAACAATCAGAATACAGTGTCCATATATATTTATATGTTTTACTTTTGAAATATACACTCTTAAGTTTTTGTTGTTGAGTGCCATAGCGATTTTTGTGCCGTTTTACCTTTCACAAAGAGATTTAGTTTTCTCACCCGTGAGCGTTTTACTGTAGAGAATCCATCTATACAACAATAAATGTAAGTACATAAATATTTTTAAAGTCATAGGTTCGTTTTTTAACTATAACACTGACTATTTATTTATTAATTTAAGTTTCAGATTAAGTAGCATTAGGTTTACCGTAATAAGCTGGTTCATCAAAATAGATATAAATTGTTTGACTACGATCCTTTTTTACGTAAAGAATATGTATAAAAATTCTGACACAAGTTTGTTTATTATTTTAAATACTGCCACTAACTTATGTTAAAATATCTCCCGCATATAGAAGGCATGCGAAGTGTGGTATTTCCTTTGTCACAAAGTATAAAAATTGTCAAGTCAATATATTACAAGCTATTATTACTATGAAAACATGATATTCAATGATTTAGTTACAACAAACTCATCTACAGAAATGTTAAGTATATTATAACAACTGATTTATCCAAGCACTCAATATTTAGGTACTCCATAATTAAGCATTTTAGAAAGTAACTAGATCTGAACACAAGTTACAATAAAGGTAAGGTCATAGCAGCTCTCTAAATTGGCATATGACATATGGGGACCATTTGCTTTTAGCAGAACAAGTCCCATTTTAGTATATTATACCTTATAAATAAAGTAGTTAACATAACCTGACACTACTTACATGATTTAATCTTTTTAACACCCATTTTATAAATGTTTTGTACTTCTATTTTAGAAGTTTAATTTATATAATACATATTGTTTTTTATATTATATATTATATTTTTTCATTTAACCTTTACAGACTAAGTCACTAAACTTAATACTAAAGAGAAAAATTAAGAATTGTTAACAAGTTTGAAACATTTAATAACTGTACACTTAGTACTCTATTATTCTTGACTCCTACATAAACAGATACACTATAAAATCTATTATGTAAACAGAATTAAAAAGCATGTTACAATTATGTAATCTTATGATGAGGCCTGTTGAAAGTTCATGAGTATTAGAAAGAAAGAATATCCTCGTTTAAGAGTATATTATTTTTCTATTGTAAATATATTCCTAACAAATTATTTTCATATATTTCAAACACTCCTTTTTGCATTCAAATATGAAATTATTGAAATACAGGCACTTTTTGCTACATTTTAAAGTTATATAATTATTGGTCATCTAGCATACTTTTTACAAAAAGAACAATTGTAAGCTTAAATAGAAATTTACTTAAATATTATTTCAATATTCATTACTCAGGTCGATATTAAGGATAATTCTTATCTCATAAAAAAGCTCATAATTACAGCAGATTACTAAATAAAATTATAGAAATTCATAATATTATTTACATTAAGTACAAGTATGTACATATTTTTTTGTAGTTATTTTTTTTTTATAAATTTGTGTTCCAGTAAATTTATAGTGCATTGAGCATTCTTCTTCTCCTTACCCTTATTACAAAATATTCTGTTCTTCCATTTCCCTCTATCAGCCGTCATCTTAGCACTCACATATTTCTCATTCTATCTTCTTTCACACAATTTATCAATATCTTCCTCGGTCTACCACTACTACTCTATAGAAGTAGAGTTAGACAGAGTTCCATCCACATTCATACTTAATACTCTCTTGCTTATTGGCGCAACGGACAGCCCTCTTTGCAGAGGGTGTTTTAGCGCTGTAGAATCAGTAGCTCACGTAGTCCTGGAATGCGTAGCGGTAACTTCCCAACGTAATGAAATCCTCGAACCGGTGAGGTCGTTCCGCGAAGCCTGTGAAGCTCCCAGGAAGCTTTTGCGCTTTTGGACGGAGCTAGACTGGCTGAACTAGCCAGGATTCGCAACGTACAACGGACCAAATGCGAGTCTAAGCGCGGAAAACGAGTCCAATATACAATACAATACTCTCTTGCTTATATGACTTTTCCTCAACTTCATTACCACTGGTGCTACTCTCATCGTTCCTTTGATATGTATATATTTGTTCAGTCGTTTCTAATCTTGTCCTTCTCTTACCTAATAATTCCACACATCCATCTGAACATTGGCAATATTTACTCTCCTTTCATATAACATGACTACATCATTCTATCTTTAATGATAAATTAATGTAATATGTAATAAAGGAATATTGTAGACGCAATTCTGAAGTACAATCATGCTAAGAATGTTATAAAAATTATTTATGGGGTTGCGAAATTTGTATTTATGTGAAGTATAATTCTGTTGAAGGAACATAATTAACATTTGCATCAGCTAAGTGGAAGAGTAGAGTGGGTCAGTTTAAGCTTCCGCATCGGTGGCCGCACGACAATGCGGATCTGTGCCTCGCCATTTGTTAAATATAATGTTCAATATATAATTAGGCTAAATTAAAAATTGTATTGAAATTTGGTATAATGATAGGTCGTTATCCAGGTCAACATATAGGATACTTTTTACTGCAGGAAAATATCTCATCTCTGAGAAATCTATACTAAACGTTAAAACATAGGCCGTAGCTAGAAATCAACCCGAGCGGAGCAAGAGTGACTCGCTAGTATTTTATATATACCTAATTCTCTTGATGTACGTATTATTATCATTGTCTTTTAATGCTGGTGACTGGTTTCTACGAAATCTATTCGATGTGACTAACTACACCATACAATTAATAATCACGCCCAATAAGTTTTATACAAGGTTGAAATATTAGAGCTAAGTTTTGGTTTAATGATGACAGTCCATTTATTTTTCATTCGACGACACGTTTGGCTCAGTTTGTAGGTACCCTACTTGATGTGCCAGCAGTCGTGGGTTTGAGTCCCGCTGGGGGCTTTTGTTTGTGTGATGCGCACGAATGTTTGTATACAGTCATGGGTGCTTATATTTATAATACTAGCACTGCCTGCGGCTCCGCCCGCGTTCAGATGACCAAAAACCAAATTCTTAGGTTTTACATATTAGTATACTCTTACATTGCAGTTTTTGTATTTTTGTTCAGAAATGAGACATTTTCCCGCGGTAAAAAGTATCCTATATGTTGACCCGGATAACCAGCTATCACCATACCAAATTTCATCAAAATACCTCTAGTGGTTTTTCTGTAATGCGGTAACAGACAGGCAGACAGACAGACAAAAATTCTAAAAACTATAGATTTGGCCTCTGTATCGATAATAATGTTTATTTCAATAAGATTTTCTTAAAAATATTTAATGTACAGTTTCGGCTTAGTTACAATTTTATTATATGTATAGATGTATATGTATTTAAAGTAATTATATATGTGTAGTGTATCAACTATCTGGCATCCATAATACAAGCCTCGTAGCTTACCATGGAACTAGATGGTGCTGTGTGTGTGTGTGTTATTTTTTTTTTAACGTTGGGAAATGCATTTACGCACGACGTGTGGGACTCACCGGCGTAATACAGCCAGTACTACCCACTAAAACCCAACAAAACCTTCCCCCGTCTTAATGGGGCGTCGCAGGATCGCTTACGCATTCAACTACGACGCCCCGACGGCAGGTCTGCCGAAGCAGACCACCACAACCATGGGGTTGCTCCACATTCCACTCTGCTATCAGAGCAACCCGCATGGTACACCGCCCCCCGAAGAGGGCCACCTCCCACCGCCCACCGAAGTGGGCAACCTCCCTGTGCGCTTCTTAGCTTCGCGCCCGGTTGAAGTGCCGGGCACTACTGAGCCCCCCCACCACGACAAGGTGAACGCACGTTGGGGGGGGGGGGGGTGTATCCCAACATACCTATTTATTTATTTAAATTTACAAATCTTTTTGTTCAATCATAATTGTAATAGAAGCGATAGTTATTTTGTTGTGTGTGTTACCAAATATGTAGTAGTAAACTACTATTAGCGGAAATCAATAATGAATTGTAACCAAAATTACTGTTAAACAAGATTTATGATGAGTCTTTGTTATTGTTACACCGTACACGCACTAAGTAATCTTGACCCAGTTGATCGGACCTAATTTTTATTAATTCACTTATTCACTTAACGCATATCATCACGTTGTTTATTGCCCACAGTTCACTGCTTAGTAATGTGAGCGGATCATTACGGCATGACTTTACTATTTGTTATTCAAGAGTCCATGATGTTTTTAAACAAACTTCTAAGATGGCAGGTGGTGTTTATATTTCCTTTCGGCGTAAATGTGATTCGAATTATGCGGCATGTGAAATGTACCAATTTTGTAAGTAGGTAGCAGTAGCAATCTACCTTTCAAACACAATCTAATGTATTTATAGTGCGAGCTTTTTCTATTTAAATTTGATATCAAAAACATTCGTTTACTATTCGTTTACATTTAACGTCGTAGTAAAACGGAATAGAAACTTTAAGATAGGGACTAAACACAAATATCGTGTAAAATATAAGTAATTTCTGAAAATTGTAGCCTTAGTTTAATATCATGCAATAGTTATTTAGACAAGTTTATAATAATTGTAAACGGCAGCCTTTCGATTTTGTAACGGGATAGCGCAAACGTCACTTATGTCAATGCCATACTCTTGCCTTCACATCTTGGTTATCATATTTTCTGGCCTTATTCCGATTTAAGAAAAGTATATATAATTTATATTAGATAAACAAAATTTTTGGTAAGCAACTGAAATCCATACTTCCATACTAATATTATATTGGCGAGATTTTTTGTGTGGACATAATTGAAGGGCTGGAGAGTGACATAGGCTACTTTTTACCGCGGGAGATTATCTCTTTACCAAGGAAAAAACACGTTATAATACAATCCAAAAAATATTTATGATCAGAATTACTTGAAACTTGTTATTAATACTCTTCAATACAATTAATTAAATACGTGTTTTGGCATTTTTCAAAATTCGTCTCATAAGGGGGTAAAATAGCGAATGAAAGTTTGTATAAAACCTACCTTTTTAGAGTTTTTAGAGTCGTTTTAGTAGACTTTTTGAGTTGTTTTAGCGCGAGCGAAGCCGCGGGTTCTACTAGTAATATCATAAATCATTTACATTAATACATTTAACTCGAATATCCGCTTGTTGTTGCGCGAAACTTACACAACCATATT